TTTCACCTCCCCCCAGCTCTCCTGACCACTGGAGACTCCTCCCTGAGTGTGACCTTTCATCCACCCGAGCTTCCAACCCATTTAATGCCAGCAAGAACCTGTAAAGCCTCAGCAGCCCTCCCCAGGAGTGTATGGGAAGGTGGTCAGGCTGTTGTTCCTGGCAGCACTGGGCACAGCCAGCATTTCTGCCCTGCTCCTGCATGCTGCCCTTTCCCAGTGGGAGAGGAGGGAGGAGGCTGCTGCTGATTCTCACTCCACAGTCCAAGTTAAATCCCAGGAAAAGGTGAAGAATCCATTGGAGAAAAAGTAGCCATAATATAAATTCAAGCTGTACAGCACTAATTCAATTTGCAGGCAAGGTAAATCTTTCACAGAACATTCCCCTCTTTGCTCAGTGCCTCAGGAATTTCCCATTCCCTGACTTTTTTTAAATCCATGGCCCACTTGACCTTCCCCTGGCAGAGCCCCCAAAGCCCTGCTCCAGCACTGCACCAGTACAGCCAGTTTGGAGCTGGAGGATCAGCTGCCATCCCTGCAGAGAGCACACAGAGCTGCCTGGAAAGCCTCAGCAGGAATTTACCCCTTCCATCATTCCAGGTTTGACTGCACTCCCCAGCTCGGGTCCCTCCACAGCAGCAGTCTGCACAGAACGGTGCCAAAGCCTGCCAGAGTCAGGGAAGGACTGGAGATGAATCAGAACTGGGAGCCAAGTCCCAGCACATTTTTCCAAAAAAGCTCCGAATTTCGGGAAAAGACCCCAGGAGCTGGCAGCACACTAAGCCTGGCTTTGCCAAACCTGAGCCCGAGTCCCTCTCTGCCAGGAAAGGCCAGCACAGCAGGGCAAGGGGCAAAGAGCAGCTCTTGGACAGACACTTCTAAAAGTGATGGATTCCTTTCTTCCCCTTTTCTTTAGGGAATGAGATCATTCCCACAGCTGATCTCCTGTCCCTGCCAGGCTGTGCAGCCCTTTCTGTGCAGGACCCCCTCAGCAGGGTGACAGCCCCGCCCTGGTGACAACTGCCCTGTGCCTCGCAGGGACATCGGGAATGCCAGGGGGGCAGGGGAGTGTCACTGCCCCCTCTCCCCGGGCTCTGCTCCCCAGGGTCCCCAAGGATTTCCCCAGTGTCCCCAAGGACTCTGGGTTCTCCCAGATCCCCCAGCCCCTGCTCTGTGACCGTGTTCACAGGGGTCTGAGGATGAGGGAAGAGACAAGGATCTGACTCCATGTTTCAGAAGGCTGATTTATTATTTTATGATATATATTATATTAATACTATACTAAAAGAATGGAAGAAAGGATTTCATCTGAAGGCTGCCTAAGAATAGAAAAAGAAGGAATGATAACAAAGGCTTGTGGCTCAGACTCTCTGTCCAAGCCAGCTGACTGTGATTGGCCATTAATTAGAAACAAGCACATGAGCCCAATCCCAGATGCACCTGTTGCATTCCACAGCAGCAGATAACCATTATTTACATTTTGTTCCTGAGGCCTCTCAGCTTCTCAGGAGGAAAAACCCTAAGGAAAGGATTTTCCATAAAAGTTGTCTGTGACACTGCTCTGTCAGGATTCCGGCGTTCCCCCCCGTCACAGCCCCGGGGCACGGCTGCCTCTGCACCCCAGCTCCTGGCAGCAGGGAGGGCTCCCCCGGCCCTGCCAAGGACATTTTAAAGGAATTGTTCCCTGTGCTCAGCTCTGCAGTGGTTGAAATCCCTCCCTGGCTCCAGCATCCCGATCCTGCATTTCCCTCCCTAACAGGGGTTCTGTTGCTTTTATTCCCTCGGTAATTGTTTGATGAGTTCTCCCAGCAGGACTTGGCTCGGGATGATTCCACCCCTCCAAACTTCTTCTGGCAGAGCAATCAACACCTCATCAGAGCAGCTCCAGGACTGGGGGGAATCCTGCTCCTCTCCCGGGAATGTCACCGGCCAGGGCTGCCCAGGAATGCACAGGGAAAGGTCCAAAGAGCCTGGCAAAGATTATCTGTGCAGGGTGGGATTGTTGGGGTGTCTGGGCCTGTCCAGGAGCTGGGCTGGATCATCCTGGGGGTCCCTTCCAACTCAGGATATTCCATGATGGTGATGGCATAAAAGGAATTGCTTCCATCACCTTCAGCCTGGCTCAGCTTCTGACATCCGACTTTGGTTTGTGTTTCAGCTGTGGAATGTCCCCCTCCAGGCTGGGACAGCCCCTCACCACTCTGAGAGGGGAGACTCAGCTCCTCCTGAGGGCCAGCTCCCACCTCTGCTCTGTGTGACAGGGACAGCACCCAGGGAATGGCTGGAGCTGGGCCAGGGGGGTTTAACCTGGATTTTAGGAAAAGGTTCTTGCCCTTGTGAGAAATGACTGCTCACTTTTTCAAATGTTATTAAATTTTAACAAAAACTACAACCAAGAACTAAATAAGGAAAAATTACAGTGCTGGGAGCCCCCATGACTACCAACCACGTGCTCCTCCTCAAAATGGATGCTCAGCTTTTTACATCCGTAGCCCCTCTTAAAGTTTTGTCAGTCAACTCCTTCTGTGCCATCCATTGGTGGAGATCACTTTTTACACCTTGACTGGAGGCCAGGTGTTGTTATGCTCTCCCTCCTGGCGACAAGCCAGCCTCCTCTAAATGTCCTGACTGCTGAGGCTGTTACAAAGAGGGGAGGGAAAGAGGACTGTGGAATGACATCTTACAATAACATTATTATACATCTGTATAATATCTGTATCTTAATTGAGAGAGCCAACAATTACATTACTTAATTATTATTACTGTCTATTACAACCCAAGGGTGCTGGGCACTGCCCAGGCTCCCCAGGGAATGGTCCCAGCCCTGAGGCTGCCAGAGCTCCAGGAGCTCCCAGATGGGATTGTTGGGATTGTGAATTTTGCTCTGGGTTCATCCAGCTGTATCCCACAAGGGATGATCCATCCCCCTTCCATGGATTGCCTGATCCCTGGGATTACCCACAGCAGCTTCACATCTCACCTTGCCCTTTCCTTTTGTGTGGAGACAGCAAAGTTCCCCAGCTCCCTTCCACCCTTCCCATGGTGAGCTGGAGTTGTTGGATGGGGATCCAAGGGCTGCCAAGCACTGGGAAAGCCCCTGGAATGCCCCAGCAGAGAGCAGAGCCCGGTGAGCACTCACCATCCATGTCCAAGCGCTGCATGATGATGGCCAGCTCCACCTCACTGGGCATGTTGTAGTGCATGTTCTTTATTTGGCATATTCACTGTTTAATTTGTGGTTTTGCAATCCCTCTGTATTGTCCTCCCCCTGTCTCTGGAGTGGCACAAGCCCCCCATTTTGTATATAATGTTTGTAAAATTAGGCTTGCTCCCTCATTGTTATTCAGTTCAGTTCAGTGTCGGTTTTTCTGTTTGTTACCTGGCCACTCCCTGCCAAGTTTCAAACCCCCCCCTTTCCCAGTTGTCAACCCCTCCTGTCCCTGTCCTTTTCCCCAGAACCATCCTTCCTCCTCCTCCCATTAAATGTGAATCCCTCCCCAAACCTGGCCTTCCCTTTAGAAACTTCCCTGTCAGTTTTGTATCCTTCAGAACCCCATTGGTTTACTTAAGCTGTTCTCCTCCCTCGAAACCCTCCATTGGTTTACACATTGTATTCCCTACCTTGTGTTCCACCCCCAGCTCTCCCGATTAGCTAGAGATTGTATCCTCCCCTGAGACCTTCCCTGTTTATAAACTATTGTCTGCCCTCGGTTCAGGGCTTGGGATCCTGGACTCTTTGTTTTGCCATCGAATAAAGTTACCCAGTTCCACCCCAGGCCCATGCTACTGCCTTTTGTTCCTGCACCAAACCTCCACTGGTGGCTGTGTAATATATGTTAGAAATAATTCATGCTATCAAAGAATGTATTTTATAAAGATTGTGAAATCCAAATGAGTCTCTGACCACAAGCAGCCTGAGGGACGGATGTCTATTCAAACTTTGAAATTCCTGGAGTCGGCTAGATAAGGCATTTTAGCCTAAGACTAGAGCACCCAACAGGATGAGAATCATCTGAAACCTCCTAAGAGCGATCATCGATCATCGTCCTGCAGATAACATCAATCAAGATAGGCAGGGACGCCAGGAACATACATGTGAATACATGGCTTCCCCTGGCTATCAGCCAGGAAACGGTGATTGTCCAGCTCTGCACAGTGAAAGAACCAACTCTGAATGTGCAGAGTTACAAAAGAAATTGGGACTCCTTGGCCTCGGGCACAATAAACTGTATAAAATACCCCCACTAGAGGCAGCTCTCGTGAACAGAGGGGGATGCAATGCGATAGAGGTCGGATCCAGGTTCACCCAGCGCTGATCCCGGGCTCAACGCTGTCTCTTTGGCTGTGGTGGTTTTCAGGACCATATTTTGGTTGCAGAAAAAGATAAATAAAATCTTTTTGCATTTTTGATCATTTGGTTTTTCAATTGATCATTTATAACAGCTGGGATTCTGCAGAGCCCAAAGGAAGCTCTGTCACACCCCTGTTATCACCTAGCCGGGACTTAACACACCACGACACCCCTTCCATGGACTGCCTGATCCCTGGGATTACCCACAGCAGCTTCACATCTCACCTTGCCCTTTCCTTTTGTGTGGAGACAGCAAAATTTCCCAGCTCCATTCCACCCTTCCCGTGGTGAGCAGCAGTTGGATGGGGATCCAAGGGCTGCCAAGCACTGGGAAAGCCCCTGTGTCACTATAGGACACAAAAGAACAGAAGCGCACACCGCTGTTCTCAAGGTGAAGGAAAAAAGGGAAGTTTATTTTCTGACTCTAACATTTATAGTTTTCCAAGAGTGACAGTGGATTGGAGGGTCACAGTGCCACCTCTCCAATGACACTGGACAGACCAACAGTCCATCAACTTTCTCCTCCTCCATGAAGGAATGCAAAACAATGAATTATTTAAAGAAAATGTGTGAGAAAGTTCGCTACAAGAATGTCAACATCAGAAAGCTTGGAAAACCTTAAAAAATCAGGGCACCAGCCCTGAGCACTCACCATCCATGTCCAGGCGCTGCATGATGATGGCCAGCTCCACCTCACTGGGCATGTAGCCCAGGGAGCGCATGGCCATGCCCAGCTCCTGCTTGGAGATGAAGCCATTCCCGTCCCGGTCCAGCACTCGGAAAGCCTCCCTGATCTCTGTGGAGGGAAGTGGGAGAAACAACTGCTCACTTGGGAAATTTCAAAAGGTTTGTTAAACCTCAACAAAAACACAACAGAAGGCCTGTGAAAAATGCGTATTTTATGATTGGCTTTTCGCAAATATTCAAATGAATATTATATGTGTTGTGTTAGAAAGTTATGCTGTATTAATTTTCTTAAGTAGTGTGTTAAATATAGTTTTAGGTTATAACATAATGTTAAAATAGAAACTATGCTATGTAAGATACTTTTTAAAGAAAGGACTTGCATCAGATAGCAGCCACAGGACACCTGAATCTTTCAGAGAAAGAGAATTTATTGCTCCCTAATCAGAAGAAATGAACTTCTTCCTGCCTGCTCAGCCCTGAAGTCAGGATTAAGAGGAAGAAGTTGACGCTGACCAGACAGAATCCTGTGTTTGAATGGAATTTCTGCATCATGTATGAGATGCATGAATATGCAACAGGCTGTTGCTTTTAAGGGTTAATCCTCTGTTAACGTGGGTCCTTTTTCAGGCTTATGTTGCCCAGAAAGAGGTACCTGGACTGTCCCTAACTCTTTGTTTTTATTGTCTCATATTGTCCTAATCCAAATTGTCCAAATTATTATTACTCTAATTTCATTATCATTTTTATAACCATTTTATTACTATTAAATTTTTAAAATTTAAGAAAAACCAAGTGATTGGTGTTTTTCACAGGACTACACAAGGAAAAAGCTGCAGCACTGGGAACTGCCCCTCATGCACACCACATGGCCAGTTCATCTTCAAGCTGGATGCTCAGTCTTTTATACCCTGGGGGTTGCATCAGCCAGCCCTGGCCCCTCCCAGAGTCTGTCAGTCAGCTCTGCTTTGCCATTTATCAGTGCAGACTGCTTTGTACCTGCATTGGAGCTCAGGTGTTGCCATGCCCACCCCCTGAGCACCCCAAGCTTTTCCATTCCCAGCTGCCCCATGCAAGGGACACCTGTGCAGCTTCTTTGTACCTGTCCCAGACAGCCCAGGCTGTCTGATGGCAACAATACAGGGGGAAAGGGAACTGTGGGGAGAAGAGAGGACATCTAAACTACACTAACATAACTGTACATCACTAAAGCTTCTCTTAATATTCACACAATGGTTATCTTTTAATTGTGAGAGCCAATCATCTCATTATCCATCTATATCAGAAGGGAGAAGGGAGGAGCTGTTATGGTGGAGGACTCTGTGGATGCTGAGCACAGAAGCCGCAGCTTCTGCCTTTTCCAAGGTTAATTGTGAATATTTGATCATCCCAGGGCAGGATGATCAGGATATGTTAATGCACACCCACAAACCTCTATGCACTAAGGATATCCTGGGATCAGAGACACAGAACTGGAAAAGCCCTCCTAGTCCAACCACCTAACCCAGCACTGCCAAGGCCACCTCTGAGCCCTGTCCCCAAGTGCCACATCCCCAGGGCTGTTAAACCCCTCCAGGGACTCCACCCTGTGCCACTCTTCCAGTGAGGATATAATTCCCAATATCCAACCTGCACCTCTGCTGGCACAACCTGAGGCTGTTTCCTCTTCTGCTGTTGCTGTCACCCTGGGTGATTTCCTTCTCTAGATCCTGCTCACAGCTTTTCTCTAATTTATAACGTTTTTACAGCACTAAACAGCCTCAGATCAATAAAAATACTGATGGAACATAAGGAACCACTTCCATCAATCGTCCTTAGCCTGGCTTAGCTCCTGATATCTGACTTTGGTTTGTTTTTTAACTTTTAACTGCTCCAGCCTGTGGCAGCCCCTTGTGTGAGGGGAGACACTGAGGGGCAGCTCTGATCTCTGCTCTGGGGGACAGGGACAGGAACAGGAACAGCCGGGGATGGGCCAGGGCAGGGTCAGGTTGGATTTCAGGAAAGGTTCTTCCCCCAGAGGGTGCTGGCACTGCCCAGGCTGCCCAGGGAATGGGCACAGCCCCGAGGCTGACAGAGCTCCAGGAGCTCCAGGGATGCCCAGGCTGGGATTGTTGGGTGTCTGTGCAGGGCCAGGGCTGCACTGGATGATCCCTGTGGTCCCTTCCAGTCAGGATATTCCATGGTTCCATAATCCACCACCTCAATGTCTCTGCTCACAGACCTCTCAGCTCCCAGCCCCAAAATCCCCAGATGTGCCTCTTGCAAATGCCAGAGAAATTGTAACTTCCCAGCAGCTGGGAGCCTGTTTCACTGGAAAGGTTGGAGGTGAGGAGGGAAAAAGGTGCCTCAGTTTTGGTGAAGCAGTCTTTGCCCCATGCTTGGAGAGGGAATCAGGGGATGCTCCATCATCTCCCTCAGGGAATGGGGATTTGGGAACAGCCCAGGGCCCACTGCAACTGCTCAGAGGATTTTCACCTTCACTTAAAACATTTCTCTGGAGAAGTAGGAGGGAAAACTCATCAGGTTTTTTGGGAAAAGAACCCCAAACTAATGAAAAATTTCTCCATTCTCCATCAGGAACTGCAGGATGGAAAATGTTTGGCTGCCTGGCATAGTTCAGGCTTTAAGGGAAATATTCCCAGTCCTCCATGGGCTACCAGAGTCCTCCCCCCATCCTGTCCCCAGGAGTCAGGGGCTGCCAGACCCTGCAGAGAGGCCTCAGGAAACCTTTGGATGTTCCTGGGAAAAAGACAGGAGCACCAGAGCCCACCAGGGAATGGTTCTGGTGGTATTTCCTAATCTTTATTTAAAGCTTTACAATTCAAAATCTGCTTCTAAACCACCTCACCCAGGTTCAACCCTCCCCTGCCCCCACCAGACCACTCCCATTTCCAGGGGCAGGATCCCATTCCCATTTCCAGGGGCAGGGTCCTAATCTCATTTCCAGGGGCAGGATCCTGATCTCATTTCCTGTTCCCATTTCCAGGGCAGGATCCTGATCCCATTTCCATGGCAGGATCCAGTTCCCATTTCCAGGGCAGGATCCTGATCCCATTTCCAGGGGCAGGATCCTGTTCCCATTTCCTGTTTCCATTTCCAGGGGCAGGATCCAGTTCCCATTTCCAGGGCAGGATCCAGTTTCCACTTCCATGGCAGGATCCCGTTCCCATTTCCCGTTCCCATTTCCAGGGGCAGGATCCTGATCCCATTATTTCCAGGGCAGGATCCTGTTCTCATTTCCTGTTCCCATTTCCAGGGCCAGGATCCTGTTCCCATTTCCTGTTCTCATTTCCAGGGCCAGGATCCTGTTCCCATTTCCAGGGCCAGGATCCTGTTCCTATTTCCTGTTCCCATTTCCAGGGCCAGGATCCTGTTCCTATTTCCTGTTCCCATTTCCAGGGCAGGATCCTGTTCCCATTTCCAGGGCCAGGATCCTGTTCCCATTTCCTGTTCCCATTATTTCCAGGGCAGGATCCTGTTCATATTTCCTGTTCCCATTTCCAGGGGCAGGATCCTGATCCCATTTCCTGTTCCCATTTCCAGGGCAGGATCCTGATCCCATTTCCTATTCCCATTTCCAGGGGCAGGGTCCTGATCCCATTTCCAGGGGCAGGATCCTGATCCCATTATTTCCAGGGCAGGATCCTGTTCTCATTTCCTGTTCCCATTTCCAGGGCCAGGATCCTGTTCCCATTTCCAGGTCAGGATCCTGTTCCCATTTCCAGGGGCAGGATCCTGTTCCCATTTCCTGTTCCCATTTCCAAGGGCAGGATCCTGTTCCCATTTCCTGTTCCCATTTCCAAGGGCAGGATCCTGTTCCCATTTCCAGGGCCAGGATCCTGTTCCCATCATTTCCTGTTCCCATTTCCAGGGCAGGATCCTGTTCTCATTTCCTGTTCCCATTTCCAGGGCCAGGATCCTGATCCCATCATTTCCTGTTCCCATTTCCAGGGCAGGATCCTGTTCTCATTTCCTGTTCCCATTTCCAGGGCCAGGATCCTGTTCCCATCATTTCCTGTTCCCATTTCCAGGGCAGGATCCTGTTCCCATTTCCTGCTCCCATTTCCTGTCTCGCTGCCAGCCCACCCTGCTGGGAGGGAGATGTGGGGAGGCTGCTCAAAGCTTGGGCTCATAATTCCAGGCGCCTTTGGAGTATACAGGACTGAATCTCTGAATCCCACCAGACTCTGCCAGCTGCAGGGAAATCTCCTTTCATGTGTGGTCCTGAGAGCTCAGTGCAGTAAACATTACACCCAGATCAATTAATGGGAAAACAAACTTGGGACAGCTGAAGGCAGAAGAATGAGATTCATTGCAGGGAGCTGGGAGAGGATTTTAAGAAGTAAAACATGAATCTGGAAAAGTTTACGTGTGAGTGAGACTGATCCAAATGCCAGGGGTAAATGCCAGGGATAAAGGACACGTGTCCAGGGCTCTGCTGGGGAATATCCACACAGCAGCTCCAGCTGAGGGCCCTCTCCAGGCACATCCATCCCAAAAGCTGCATTAACAGCATTCAACCTTTGAGCTTTGAGCAGAGCAAACCCCCCCCCCACACATTTGGGGCTTTCTGTTCCTCTGAAAGACCTGAACTTTAGACCACGCTTAGCACATCCTCCCCAAATCCATTCCCATCACCAAACAGAGCCTTTCCCCTCCCCACTCTATAAATACCACTTGTGCAGAGGTAGATATGAGCTATTTATAGGCTGAACACACTGTACAGGGAGCAGTGTGACCTCAGGCAGAGCCTCCTCCTGATCTTACATGGAACAGCTCCTCCTCATGCCCTTCTCTTCCCAAGGGTTATTCCCATGCTCCTGCAGGTGCTGCCCATCCTGAGCACCCTCCCCCAGCCCAGCCCTGCTCCCAAACCCCGCTCCAGGGCCCTGTGGCCCCTGGCTGCCCCTCACCTTCCTCTCCAGCTGTTACATTTCATTACCCAAAGCTAAAAATACAGCCTCCCTTTCCCCAGATGCCTTTCCCCACCAAGTCTCCATGGCAACAGATGCTCCCGGCTCAGAGCTGCGAGGGGATGTGGTCCATGGAGTCAATCTCTCCACAGACAGCGCTGGGGCTTGGAGAAGCTTTGGGATCTTTCCTATTCCAGCA